ACCCCAGATTTTTAAATTACAGTTGTGACCCCAGATTGGGGACACTCAAGCTCTGAGGACATTTTTCTAATCATTTTCCTAATAATCAACAACACTGCCAGCCTCTTGGATATGGTCTGACTGATACTTACAGCTCGTGGTTTTTTGTTTAACTTCAGATCAATCCTGTATAAGAAAGATAAAGATATTTGCATTTCAATTTACAGAAAAAGAGTCCAAGATTCAGCTACTGCATAGGGCACAAGCTATAACAAAGACTATTTGGTTAAGTAAAATCCACATTCTTCATTAGACTATGTCATATTTAGTTGTTTATCCAGATATTATTAAGCAAGTATTTAAAACATGAGCAGATACTCCTGCCACAAGGCAAACTTAGATGACTCAGAAAGAAATATATAGCAGTTATGAAAGCCATATAATTTTTAAGTTATTCCAAAATTACACATTAAAGAGACTGAATTAAGAGGGCATGCTCTATGTTACTGTGTTAGCTTTGTAACTATATCACTGATAATCACTGAGACACATGTGATTAAGAATAGGAAAGAGACTAGGAGTTTGTATTTCCAGACATGAAACACAAAAGAAATTGAACAAATTTCAATTTTTAAATCTTTCCAAAGCAAAATATCAAGATCTTAAACTATTAATCTCCTTATGAAGCAAAGCCAGAAAATCAATTTAAATATGAATTAAAGTGAAAGTTATCTATTTTAAAAGCAATTAAAATGCATAAAAGTGAAGTTTACTTAATTTTGCTGAAGTTATTAAATAAAATGTTACCTCCATCACGTTTTTCTGTTTTTAAAAAAAACTTCCCAGCCTAACCTAATATACATACCTACAATTAAACAGATAAACTATGGGTTAGAAAGGTCTCAAAAAGGCATATTGGTCTCTACACACTAAACAACACAGCACAAATACTAATTCAAATCAAACTTACTCAAAGTCATAATCAAACATGCCAGACGGGCTGAGGGGCAGCATTTGAAAGGAAGAAAGCAATAGAAATTAATATACTAATTGAATAAATTAGTTGATTAGCCACCCTAGCAAGATTTATAGAAACAAAATCAGCTTTAAGAATCTTAAGCCATAAAGTTTCAAACATGAAAGCACCAAAGATTTTGTGGTTGGAGATTCCCTCCACTCAATGGTTTTCATATCGGGAGAACAGACTATGAAAGAAAAAGTTATTTCATTAGAAAACTAGATAGATACCTGCAGGCCTTCTATTAGCTGCCAGATTCAGAGTTAGAACTTGGAAAATATTTAATTGTAATGACAAGTATAATTAGGACATTAGAAGAAATAGAAAAAGAAGGGATTAGTCATATAATGAAAGGTGCTTTGAAGACAATACTAACAACTCAGCAAAATACACTTGCACTAAAACAAAAGATAAAAACATCATACATTTTTTTAAAAGAAAACATTCTGCAACTTTTAACTCAAGTTATATGTTCTAAACAAGTTATATGTTCTAAGCATGTCCAGGGTACATGGTACTCCTTTTCTACAGCATTCATTTTGGAAGCCAGGGGTCGAATGAAGGAACTTCAGTGATAGGTGAGTCTTGTTCCAGAAACTGCAGAGCCTGCATTGGTGATGGCAGTTACTGTTTATGTCAGGGCTACAGTTATGGGACACCAAAGTCTGCAGCACCCCTATGAAAACAAAGAAAAGTTGACACCCACAAGCACCCAAGCCTCAGGGATCCGGATGGGAGTAGCATGAAGAGAAAGTAATCCGGGGCCATCACTGATAACCATGGTGTGGGCAGGCCTCCAAAGCAAACAAAATCCAGAGTATGACACCAACCCTGCTGGCTCCAACCTTTCAGACTATAGATAGGTGGCAAAACAATATGCAAAATGGCTATCTTTTCCGCCTAACCAATGTTTGCAAGAGTGAAGCTGGAAGAACGCTTAATGTCAATACCCCTTATGCAACAGTTTCACTCAAGACATTTGGGAAGGAGTATACAATAAGTGTACAAACCAGGAACTATTAAAAATTTTCCTTCCAGCCTCATTTACTTTTATTCACAAAATAGACTGTACCTCCTTAATGAAAACTTCACAAATCTAGAGGAATTCTCGAGTTTAGTATAGTAATAAAAACCTAAAAGAGCAGCTGTAAGTTATTATTTCAACTGTTTTCTTTAAATATACTGAAACATCATTCAGATAACTTATGAATATTAAATATTATTTGATAAATTTTCATATTCCTGGAGGACAAATTCAAGTTATTCCTTTTTGCTAAAGTAACTTATTTATTTCCACTTTGCTTCACTCACCACTAAACAGTGCCTAGCACATAGTAGGTACTCAGACATCTGCTGAAATAATTTACTATTGACTTTATCTGAGTACATGCGGTGTGTGGCAGGTTGGAGAAGAAACAAGTACTACACTGGGTGCAAACTTACAAATATGTACTAAGTGCTCCATCCCGCCATCCCACTCTGTCAGACCCACTAAGAGACTTCAGTCAGAGGTGAGGGGTTTGGGCCACACATGTCCTGACTAAAGACGGCAGGAATCTGAGAACCTCCACTGGCCACTGAGCCAGTCAGGCACAGTCAATCTGTTTTCCCGAGAAGGAAGGTAAGTAGCTCCACTCTGCTCCCTTGGGGCAGGCGAGTATCTAAGTCCAATGGAGAAGCCCAGCCAGATTAAACCAGGGAAATGGTCAAAGGATCCTGCTTTCCAAACAGAAAGCACTATTTGTGAACAATAACTAACATCAAAGATCTTTATAAATCCTAGTTATTTTTCTGGAAGGAGTTAGCTTCTAGGGCCAGGAGAAAAGGGTAGAAAGAAGTATAGTTCCTATGGAAATCTACTACAAACCTGCAAGAAGAAAATCAGATTCAAGTTCTAATTCCATTTTATCACCATCTGATCATGTCACTGAGGGAAATGAAGTATTACCTGAAACAAACCATAGCTGTCTAGAGAGTGTCTATCGGTATCAGTAACAAACCTTCATGGAATTTCCCCCCCACTGTAGACACTGAAATTGGAAAAGCATCATTTCTTTAAAATGACACTGGAGTAAATTTTAGTAAAAGCAACAGAGAGTATAACATTTAATTTTTCTTTTTCTTTTTCTTTTTTTAAATATATTTTATTGATTTTTTACAGAGAGGGAGGGAGAGGGATAGAGAGTTAGAAACATCGATGAGAGAGAAACATCGATTAGCTGCCTCCTGCACACCCCCTACTGGGGACGTGCCCGCAACCAATGTATATGCCCTTGACCGGAATCGAACCTGGGACCCTTCAGTCCGCAGGCCGACACTCTATCCACTGAGCCAAACTGGTCAGGGCTAATTTTTGACAATTTAAAAAAATATTTTTAAGAGTATGGTTCTCTGCTACTATTTGTGATAAGCTAGGATGAGTCCTATCACAGTGATCAAACACATAGCCTTACAAAAATGAAAAGATATGTAATTTTTGCTATTTCTTACTGCACTTATGAGATTGGCATGGTGATCTGTGGTTTGCAGAAAAATGCTAAGCTAGCAGTCCTTAGTCTGTATTTGGAGGAAATACTTTTTCTGCAGTCTCAAAACCACCACCACCATCGACAACAAAAACTCTTAAAAGAATGAAGATTCCAAGGAGGCTTAAACCAGTTAGAGTTAATTTTATATTATCCCTGTGTGCCACATCCACAGAGCTAACAATGTAATGCCTGAAGGAAAATCCTACAGGTTTGTAAAACAACCCAACCCAGAAGCAAACTGGAGGACAGGGAACCCCATCCATCCCTTGCATGCCTCCTTTCATCTCCTCAGCGAGCAGGCTCCCAAGAGAAGCAGGACAAAAGCCAGCCCGTAAAGAACTGGTTTCCATGCCTCCCAGAGAAGGTCTTGAGGCTAGGGCAAGATTCCTCACTCTAGAAACTGTAACCTCTCTGAATGCAGCTGTATAATTTCCAATTACCCGAGTTAACAGGCCCGTATTATCATACAAACCCCACACAGAGTGAACACTAAATCCTCTCTGGTGATACCTGACCTCTCTGTCCACTGATGCCATTCCTATCTCATTACGCACTGCAAAAAAACACAGTGGACAAACGTTACCTGGGAGGCACTCTCCTATCTTACGGACTTTATACTCTTCCTCTGATATCTGGAATCAGCATATTGCAGAGGTACATAAAAACAGAGAATCACATGCAATAAAAAAACCTCATATTTAAAAAGAAAAAAGACACATCAGATTGGTTCCCTCCATTCGCCAGGAAACAAGAGTAGGCAGGGATTGGGATTAAGAACAAAGGACTTTATCCCACGTTGCAGCTTCCCAACATGGACTAGCGGTATTTTTCAAATACTATTACACAGACTCTGTTTCTATATCCCTTTTCCCACTTCTAAAAGGATTCCAAATTTGTTATATTAAACAAATATTTTGTGGAACAAAATTATTCTACATTAGAAATGGTGAGAATACTGTCCTCCTACATAGTTATGCTGAAGCCCACTAATTCCTCCCCTAGACAGAAAAATTATTCTGTTTCATTTGTACCAACGGAACTTCTTCCCAACAGCACAGAAGAACTAAACCAATCCTGAAGACTTTTCATTCTAGTAAAATCCCTTCATAGCAATGGTCATGGAAGCTGGGGGCAGGTGGGGGTTGGTGGGGAGTGGGGACATATGAGGGTAGGAGGTGGGAGGTGGTCCCTACCACTGACCTGTGTCGGTTTTTATTCTTTCGTTTTTTATGGCTGCTGTGATGGCTCCCTGAGGAAGTGGAAGCAGCCTTCTGGGGTTTCACTCCCTGCACAGATCCGTCCAGATCCTCAGGGTCCTCCTGGGTGGGCTCATTTTCCTGATTGTGGAAGTCTGGAGAAGTATCGCTTTCCGTCCCACTTCCTGGTTCCCCTTGAGGGAAGAAACACAAATCCCCAGAAGCACCATCAGTACTCGGGCAATCTGTCCGTCAGTCAGGAAAGATTTTTTTGAGCACTAATATATAAAAAAGACTATATTCCTACACTCATTGATCATACCGTCTAACGAGAAGATATACACAATCAAAGCTTCAAAGTTACCAGCGTTCCTGACATGTAATCAGAAACTGTGTAACCAGAGGCAGATCTAAGGACAGCTGGGAGATGGGGACACAGGCAGGATAGCCTCACTGCACAAAGGTTCTGTAAACATAGAATATATTAATGGGATTAAGAATTATGCAAGAAGGTGACGAATGACCTTGGAAAAACTTCCTATAGCCAGCCCTGATTCCTTCCCTAAACCATCCAGAAATCCTCTTTCTGTCAAGAAAAAAGGTCCATGAGAAGAGTCCCACTACCTAAATTACTCTGAGAAATCTTGAGTATTATTTTTTAAAATAGCGATAATACTCTTCAGCTGACACATTCCCAATTTTACATCCCTTGAATATATTATGCAAGATAAATAATAATTTACATAAAATATTACATATATTTTGGTAAATGTATACTTTTTTTCTAAAAGGAATTTCTTGAAACTCTTAATAGAAAAGGATGGGCGAAGGTTTTCACTTTGCTCACTTCTGATGTCTTTGTATTACAAACTGCTGGGAAGAGATTTTACATTGAGTAGCACATGGACACAAGAAGTAAAAGAGATGGTTCCCAAAAGGCAAAAGAGAAACAGAACCAGATCTCAGAAATCATGAAATACTATTTTTTGATCACTTCATGAAAGCAACCAGAAGAGGGAGCTCTAGAACTATAAAGCTAGAAAAAGTATATTGATCAATCTGGCCCTTCCACAGATCAGAAAAACAGATTTCATAGAAAACTTAGCAAAAGAACGCCAAAACTTACCCAACCAAAAGTATGTGGTACTGGCATAAGAACAGACATACAGAAACCAGGGAAGAGAATTCAGAGGCCAGATACAAACCCTTAACATTTATGACCAACTGATTTTCAACAAGGGTATATTGACCAACCTGGCCCTTCTAAATTTGACAAGCAATTCAATTAAAAGATACTGATGAGCAAAATGAACATTTATTCGTTGTGGGCCAGATGCTCTGGGAGTACTGAGTAAATGGATGAGTTGGTCATATTCTATAAGGTTAAGCACACAAGTGCATACAAAACAGTGTAAATCAAAGCCCTATGAACGAAGAAGGTGACATGCCAGGCAGTAAGCCATGCGCCAAAGTCCTGATATGGATATTAAGTATCATCAGTCAGAGAAGAAAGAGTGAATTCCACAGGAAAAGCTTCATTGAAGGGGTAGACTTTAACTGGACCTTGAAAAAGGAGAAGCCAAAATAAATTTTTTAAAAAAATAGCACAAGCAAAAGTGTAGAGATGAGAAAACACAAAGTATATTTGGGACAAATGAATCAAACAACGTCATTTAAACAGAGAGCTTGAGAAATGAGAGGTGACATGGAGTGGAGGTTAAGAGGACTCATATGTCAGACTAAGTAAAGGATTTCCTTTTGGGGAGGTGCTGGTTAAGAGAACTGACTTGCAGTTTAACCTTTCTAAGCCTGTTTCCCCATTTGTAAAGTAAGAATTCTTTCTTTCATGTGTTCAGTATCTACTATGGACAAGGCATTGGGCTACACCCTGAGCTACCACAACGTTCCCTATTTTCAAGGAGTAGTTTTAAAGACTGAATGAGATAATGCAAGTACAGTGTTTACTTGGTGTCTAGAACACAGTAAGTGTTCAATCTCAGTATCTGTGAGATCTACAAGCATGCAATAGGGTGGTGAAGACCTGGGGAGAGGGGAGGGGCTGGGGGGAAGAGATAAAGGGGGGAAAATGGAAGATATCTGTAATACTATCAACAATAAAAAATATTTTTTTAAATATATATTTTATTGATTTTTCACAGAGAAGGGAGAGGGATAGAGAGTCAGAAACATCGATCAGCTGCCTCCCGCACACCCCCCACTGGGGATGTGCCCCGCAACCAAGGTACATGCCCTTGACTGGAATCGAACCTGGGACCCTTCAGTCCGCAGGCCGACGCTCTATCCACTGAGCCAAACCGGTTAGGGCAACAATAAAAAATATTTTTTTTTAAAAAGAATCTCCGAACAGAGAAGTGACATCCAACAATGAATATTTATGAAGTTCTGTCTAAATCCGTGTTTTAGGGTTATTAGGCTAGAAGTAGTTTATAAGAGGAACTGGAACCAGGGCACTAAACACCATTAAAGTGAGCTCTGAACAGCATGTTCAGTGGTTAGAGCACCGGCCTGCCCACCAAAGATCTCGGGTTCAATTCCCGACCCTGATCAGATCAAAGGCCCATATCCGGGTAGCAGGTTCGACGCCCCACCACGAGTCAGGGTGGGTGCAGGAGGCAACCAATCGATGTGTCTCTCTCATATTGATGTTTCTCTCCCTTTTTCCTTCCTTACCTCCCTCCACCCCCCTCCCTTCCACTCTCTCTAAATATCAATGGAAAAAATATCCTCACTCCTCAGTGAGGATAAAAATAAATAAATAGAACACAAAGTAAGAATAATTTTCTTCATTGGCTCAGGGAAGCAGAAGAGGAATGACGACAAAAGGGCTGAGCGACAACATCTCCAAGTGCAGCAGTGAGTCAGTCACCGCATGCTGCTGCCACCACAGAAACACACGTTCAGTTTGTTTCTCACATAAAAGTGAGCAACTCATTTTTAGAGCACAGAACATCAGATTCTGATTAAGTTTAATAAATCTACAGATGAGACACTCTACTTATTAAAAGAAAGGAACAGGAGGAAACCAAGATGGCGGCATAGGTAAATACCAGAAATTGCTGCCTCGCACAACCACTTCAAAAATTCAACTAAAAGACAAAACGGACATCATCCAGAACCACAGGAAGGTTGGCTGAGTGGGAATTCTACAACTAGAAGGAAAGAGAAAAGCACACTGAGACTCAGAGGAGGTGAGGAAGTGCAGAGGTACGGAGGCGCACGTGGAAAGGGCTGGCAACTGAGGACGAGGTTGTCTTTTTCAATCGGGAGGGAGTCCCGACTGCTCTGAACTCTAGTTCCGGGTGAGTCTCTGGGGACCCAGACGCATACAGGGAGAAACTGGACTGTCTGGCATCAGTCAGAACTCGAGGGAGGCTTTCTCTCAGAGGTGCTTGCAGCAATTACCGGGACACTGAGACACGGGGCCTCTTAGGGTAGGACTGAGGATCAGCCATAGCTGTTTGCTCCGCCCTGTTGATTCCCTGAGACACCGCCCCACCCAAGCTGTGCACAGAGGCTTTTGCATATGAAAGGCCTGGCCCTTTGCAATCTGAAAATTACCTAACAAACTGCAGCTGGATCAGAGAGACCCAGAACTTCCTAAAGAAGGCCCAAGGCCCCACAGCAGCTTGCATTGCTTCACAGCTGGGTCTCATTTGGGCACCTCCAAATCCCAAACAAAGAAGAGGACTCTGCAGATCTCTCCATAGCTCCTGCTGGGTAGCCTCAGGCAGAGGCTAAATTAGCACCTCCTTAGAGATCCAAGAGCCAGTGTACCCAGTGGTCAGAGTGGGACCATCAAGATTACAACTCCTTAGATCCACAAGGGACACACTCAGGGGGCAGACTCAGTGAGCACCAAAGCCCCACTGAAGCAAGTCTTGCCCCAGAAGGGTGTCTCCAGCACAGAAGTTCTCCCACTGCAGACACAGCTGATTCTCACAGCCAATTGGCCTGGAGGTCAATTCCTCCCAGCGATACCTACAACAATCAAGGCTTAACTACAACAAGACAGTGCACAAAGCCCACAAAGGGGTGCACCAAGAGTGTCCTCCTCAGGTAATTGGGGAGGCTGAGCCACTGGGCCCTATAGGGCACCTAGCACAGAAAGCCACTCTATCAACACAGGGAAGCATAAAAAATGCCGAGACAAAGAAACAGGTCACAAATGACAGAAATGGAGAAAAGCAAACTACTGGATATAGAGTTCAAAACCACACTTTTAAGGTTTTTCAAGAATTTTCTAGAAACTGCTGATAAATTTAGTGAGACCCTCAAGAAATCTAGTGAGACCCTCGAGGTTATGAACAAGGACCAACTAGAAATTAGCATACACCGACTGAAATAAAGAATATTATACAGAGTTCCAACAGCAGACCAGAGGATCATAAGAATCAAGTCAAAGATTTGAAATACAAAGAAGCAAAAATCCCCCAACCAGAAAAAGAAAAAGAAAAAAGAATCCAAAAATATGAAGATAGTGTAAGAAGCCTCTGGGACAACTTCAAGCATACCAACATCCGAATTATGGGGGTGCCAGAAGAAGAGAGAGAGCAAGATATTGAAAACCTATTTGAAGAAATAATGACAGAAAACTTCCCTACCTGGTGAAAGAAATAGACTTACAAGTCCAGGAAGCGCAGAGAACCCCAAACAAAAGGAATCCAAAGAGGACCACACCAAGACACATCATAATTAAAATGCCAAGAGCAAAAGACAAAGAGAGAATCTTAAAAGCAGCAAGAGAAAAAAAGTCAGTTACCTACAAGGGAGTACCCATACGACTGTCAACTGATTTCTCAACAGAAACTATGCAGGCCAGAAGGGAGAGGCAAGAAATATTCAAAGTGATGAATAGCAAGAACCTACAACCTAGATTACTTTACCCAGCAAAGCTATCATTCAGAATTGAAGGTCAGATAAAGAGCTTCACAGATAAGGAAAAGCTAAAGGAGTTCATCACCACCAAACCAGTATTATATGAAATGCTGAAAGGTATCCTTTAAGAATAGGAAGAAGAAGAAAAAGGTAAAGATACAAATTATGAACAACAAATACACATCTATCAACAAGTGAATCTAAAAATCAAGTGAATAAATAATCTGATGAACAGAATAAACTGGTGAATATAATAGAATCAGGGGCATAGAAAGGGAGTGGACTGACTATTCTCGGGGGGGAAAGGAGTGTGGGGGGTGCGGGAAGAGACTGGACAAAAATCGTACAC